GGCCCCGCCCGCCGCGCGCTCTCCGCTCCACCCTTCTCGTCCCTCGGCTCCAGAGTCCTCCCAAGTCCAGGCGAGTGTTTCCCACGCGCACCCCAACCGCCCGCTGCGCAGCCGCCTCCACCAAAAGGGCAGACTCCCTCCCCGCCCCCTGCAGCGGCCTCCCGGCGCTTGGATCCGGACCAGGAAGAGCTGGCCGCAGGGGTCCCCGCGGGCCCCGTGGGACCCGCCATCCCCCGGGGTCCGCTCTGCCGCGCCTCCCCCGCGCCCTTTGTGTGCGCGTCGCGAACTCCGGCCGAGCTCTCCTTTGGGCGGCGCAACTTTTGGCTGGAATGCGAGTGAAAGGAGGCGCGCGGGACAGCCGGGGGCTGGCGGGGGACAGAAGGCGACCGCACTCACTTTGGGAAGGTTCCGGCATGTTGCTGCCTTCGGGCTTCCTCGTGGTCTCCTCTCTACCGAGGCTTCCCCGCCCCGCCAGGGCCAGAGCGCGGGGGGACAGGGGAGGAGCGGAGCCGCCGGGACCGAGTTGGAAATGGTGCTTCCGGAGCTGTAGGGAAGGGGCTCAGAAACTGTTTTGGTTTTGCTAAGAGGATTTCGGGGAAACGGGAGGCTCGAGAGGGGCTGGGGGAAGGCCCGTGGGCACGAGTGCCTGAACATAAGCTCGTTCCCAGGATTATTTTTACTGGGGGGTCAGGGTCGGCACGCACATTTTTGCATTTGAACTTTGTGAGCCAGCTGGATTGAATCCGACGCTTGAACTTCTCCACTGAGCTCGCTTAAAGTCGAGCCTTGATCCCGTCCCAGCACCGAGAACCTACTTCAGAAGCCAAGGGCCTGGGAGCAGGGTGGTTCAATGGTGACCGGAGGGGGAAATGAACCGGGAGACAGCTCAGCCCCAGGTCACGCTGCATGCCCGGCCGCGTCGTGCGTGGGTCCTCTTCTTACCTGGTGGCTTTCCTAACAAAGTAAGAGAAGGTAAAGTCCCAGTGATCGTCCAGCCACGCTTCGACCGAGTCCTGGTCCCGCTGCGGCTGCGGCTGCCCGGAGCTGGGGCCCGCCCGCTGCATGGTCGGCGCCGCGCGTCTCTGCGGCTCGCGGGTGCTGCTTTTCCACCCCAGCTGGGGTCCCTCCCTCGGAGGCGCGGGAGGAGACCCTCCCCCTTCGCCCCGCTCCAGCCGGGCGGGCTCTGACCGGAGCCGCCCGGGCGCCCCGCCAGCCTCCTGCCCCGCCCCGCCCCTCTCGGAGCTCTGGGCTCCCAGGTGTGGCGGGGGGGGACGGGGGAGCGAGACGCGCGCCCAAAACGCAGCCTCCCCAGCCCCCGCTGCGGCGGCGGGGGCGGCAGCGACTGGCGAGCTCTCCGGAAGCCCAGCGGGTGGAAGGAGGCCAGGCGGCCGCTGGGGTGCGCTGTGTGCCCAGCCGGCTCCGGGGAGCGCGCAAAGGTGACTGTGGGTGTGTTCTCAGCGTCTCTACGAAGGGGCAGATCGCGACGTAGGGGACCCATTCCAAACCTAGGCGGCAGGAGTTAGGGTAAGTTTCACCCCAAAAGGAGACACGGTGTTTCCCTGGGTACTTTCCCTCAAGCCTGGGGTACGTGAACGTCGCGGCTCGCTTTTGTCCAGCCCAACGCACGGTCCAGGAGGAGGAACCCGCCTGCTTCAGCCGCGGCCGCGTGGACCACGCCGGGTAGCGGGAACCCTGGCCAAGTCGCACCGTCCCCGCGCTCAATGTCAACACCAATAATGACAAAAGTAATTATAAATTAGTTGCTTTGAACCATTGCATCAAAACGTCCCCTTTTCATAACCGGAGAAAGATGACCTGGGAAAGAAAGGCGAGCTGAAGTTGTGACAGGTGTTTGCGTGTGAAGTTAGGCGAACAGGACCCGTCTGGACAGCTCGGTTCGTTTGACTGCATGGGCCCTACTACGCGGGTACATTCCAGAGCAAGCAGCCCGACTCAAATTAACTCATTATTTTATTTAAACGGAGTTAATTACCCCTTCCGCCTAAATTATCTGTTCAAAGAGCTCAGCCTGAGGCCAGCAGGTGATGTGGTGGCTAAGGCACTGGACTCCCACCTGGTAGACCTTAGTTGGAGTCCCAGACCTGGAGGCTTGCTTTCTCATTCTCATTCTATTTCTCTCGCTGTCTCTGTGGTCATATAGAAGGAGGAGGAGATGGAGAAGAAGAAAAAATCAAATTAAATACTTTTTAATAATTACTTATTTAATTTTATTTATTCATTTATTTATTTAAATTTGACCAGAGAAGGAAAGTGAGAAAGCAAGCCACCAGGGCCAGTATTCGAACCACAGTCGGCCATGTGGGAGTGTCCAGCACCTTAACCACCATGCCACCTAAATTACTTTTTAAAAAAGGTTCAACCTTCTTGCCCTGTTCGTACTTTTTGTACTTTTTTTTTTTTTTAAGAAGCTGGTGTCTTCTTTCGCTTTTTTCTCATCCCCATCTCCCTGTCATAAATTCAAGCTTGATACAGCATTTTGCGGTGACCCAATTTGGGGGGACAGAATTAAATCTGGAGTCGTACATGGCACAACTGTGAATGACACTGTTAGCAAAGATACATTAAAAGTGATTTCACTGACATACTTTTTTTAAAAGAGAGAGTTTTTGTTTGTTTGTTTGTTTTGCTACAGGGCACATGCTCTGTAGACACAGAGAGAAATCACTCGCTGGAGGGATGACCATGCCACAATCCCTTCTCCTCCTTTCTGCTCTTGGGATTTTGTGCCCGGCGTGTTTTTAATTTAATTTAATTTTTTTTGGGGGGGAGAGGTTTTTTCTATAAAGTGCATGCACTCACCAGAAAGACAGAGAGAGACATAGAGACAGAAAGCGAGAAATCACCCCCCCGGGGGGTGGTCACGCAGCAATCCCTTCTCCTCCATTCGCCTCTCGGGATCTTGGGCACACACTCACATGCACCCAGCGTGAGTTGAGGCCATCGGGTCCAGGACGCGAACCACACCCTACTGCATGGGAGTCCAGTGACATAGCTATTACGCCAACTGCTGGTCTCATGTCTGGTGTGTTTTAAGCCACCAAGTCTGGTATTCAAACTGCAGTCTGCTATGTGGGAGTCCAGTGATCTAACCATTATGCAATCTGCTGGCCCCTCACTGACATACTTTAAACAAACCCCTTCAAAATATTTTTGATTAAAAAAAGCACATATTACTCACAACATAGAAACACGTAATGAAATCGATAACATGGGAATGATGAAAAATGCCTTCCAGGGACCAGCAGTTAGTGTAAAGGCTATGTTGCTGAACTCCCATGTAGTCAACCATGGTTCGAGACCTGGACCCAGTGGCTTAAACTCACGCCGGGCCCGTGTGTGTGAGTGCCCAAGATCCCGAGAGGAGAATGGAGGAGAAGGGATTGCGGTGTGACCATCCCCCCTGGGGGGTGATTTCTCGCTTTCTGTCTCTGTCTCTCTGTCTTTCTGGCGAGCACATGCACCCTATAGCGAAAACCTCTGGGGGTGGGGTGGGGTGGGGAATGCCTTCCAACCCTCCTCCCAGTGCAATGGTTTATCTACCCTGCATTGAAGTAACTGTCTTTTCATAGCCTCAGTTCCTCTGAAGCTTTATGATGTATACTAGTAACCACAGCCAATAAAAGGCAAGCCAGGCAGCAGAGTGTGAAGTAACGTGTGATAAATTATATCAGATTTTAAAGTGAGAGTTCTCTCCTTTGCTTGTTACTACGCCAGTGATTACAGTGTCTATGTAATGCACACTTTCGCTTCCTTTTCCTGTGGAAAGCCATGCATTCCTCCTAACAGGAAGCCAATTATAATTTAAACCCTACTTATTAAAGATGTAGTAAATTTTTGGCTTAGACTGTGCCTTGGTTGACTACGCTGATTAAGTAAACTGGTACTATGGTTTAAATGCTTGCAGCCACTCCAAAATTCAAGTTGAAACTTTATTTTCAATGAAATGGTATTAAAGGCTGGGGCATTTAAGAGATGATTAATGGGGAGGAAAAGTATTTAACATCTGTTGTCATAAGGGAAATGCAAATCAAAACTGCATTGAGGTATCCCCAAGCCCTGTAAAGAATGACTGATCAAAACAAAACAAAACAAAAAACTAACAATAACAAGTGCTGGTGAGGTTGTGGAGAAAAGGGAAACCTCATGAATTGCTGGTGGAGGGTTAATTAGTACAGTCTCTGTGGAAAACAGGATGGAGGCTCTTCAGAAATCTAAAAATAGAACTACCATGTGACCCATAAATCTAACTCTTAGATGTTTACCCAGAAGACAGGAAATCATTCTGTGAGAGAGACATTTGCACACCCATGTTTATTGTAGCATTGTTCACCATAGATAAAAGATGGAATCAAATTAAGTTCCTACTACTCAACCACAAAGAATAATGAGATCCTGGCATTTGACACAAAGCGGGCTAGCCAAAGACATACTGCTGGGTCCAACAGGTGGCATGGTGGTTAAGGCAGTAAAATCGCACATGGCTTACCTTGGTTCAAGTCCTGGACCTGGTGGCTTGCTTTCTCTCTCTCACCCTCTCTTTCTCTGTCTCTCTGGTCAAATTGAGCAATAATAATAAATACAATTAAATAATTATTTTTAAAAGAGACATAATACTAAGTGAAATAAGCCTGGCTAAGACAAGAAGAGAAAAAGAAGCAGCATCTGTGGATTCTCCCATCAGCGAATGGTCGTAGGTTAATGTGAAGGCCTGTTACCTGAGGAGCCGATCACAGGGGATTGGGGACAGACATGAGTGTTTCAAATTGTTCTAGTCTCTACAAAGCACAGATAAAATGTGTACTTAGATCTCTTGTAATTTTATTTTACTTTATTTTACCTTTTTTATTGCCAGAAATCATGTGCTTGCCAGAGGAGAGAGAGGGCAAGACAGACAGACAGAGAAAGCATCCTCCAGTAGGGTGTGGTCAAGCCACAATCCTTTCTCTCCCATTTTTTCCATTTCTCACCCCACTCCAGGAGGTGGAGTACACTTGCACATACCCGCAGTGTGTTTTTCAAGTCACCAGGGAGAAGATTCTTACTGAGCTCAGCCATGTGGGATTTGGTTCTCCAAGCACAGGGTTTAACTGCTGCATTGTGGGACCTGGCTCTTCACGTAACTTTGAAGTACTTCAACTAAGCTTTTTATGTTGCATTACTCTGTCCCCTTGTTTTCCAGTTACATTTTATTCTTAATGACAATTCACTCAATTATTATGTGTTTTAATTTATTGATATGGATTGCTCTAAGGATTTCACATCTTGTTTTGGAATGAACTGGATACTAAGTAAATAATGAACATTATAGATGTGGAGGCAGGAGGTGATTTAACGGTAAAATGTGATGCTCTGTGAGGCAGATCCACTTGGGAGAGTTACCAGTTCATGTCCAGAGGCTTCCCTGAGGTTATCAGGTGCACACGTGCCCATGACCCAGGGGTGAATAAATTATTAGCACATTGAATCTTGCAATATATTTAAAAACTTAAAGGTGAAACCTATTGACTAAATATGGTTTATCCAAAGATATAGTTTTGTTTTCACATTATAAATCATTTAATTCAGCTCACTTAGTTAAACATAAACAAATGATCAACTCAATTGATGCAAGAAGAAAACAACTTGGCAAAATTTAATAGTCATTCATGATTATCCCCAGCAAACAAAAATTAAAGTATGCTTTCCAGTTAAAGAGCATCTATAAAAGAAACTTTCCTGAGATTAGAACAAAGAAGTCCACCCTTAACTATTTTCATTTAATATTGTGTGAGAGTCTTTGCCAGTGCATTAAGGCAAAATGAAACAGAAAGACAAGACATGAATATTGGAAGGGGAAAAGTAAAACTTTCCCTGTATGTACACATCAGTATCTATGAAGAACACCCTGGAGAATGCATGAAGCC